ACACCTTCAAATGCAGTAAAATGTTCTAAAATACTTCAAAACAAACTGACTTTGCCATTCCAAGAAAGTAAGGCCAGAAGACAATCTGCAATTATAAATTTAAAATAGCTATTGGAACATAATGTTTTTAATGAAAGAGTTATCGACATCTGGAATGATCTGTCAAGCAGGGTAATAAAGTCAAAAGTTTTAGGATTATTCAAGATGTAAATTATTGCGAAGGACTGGCAGTTAATGTGATCAAGTGATAAGCTTTTGTCGAACAAGGGTGAGAAAAAAAAACTTGCCCTTCCTTGCATTCTTATGTTTTTATTCCATCCTACTGTCTGGGAGAAAGTTTGCATACAAAATGTGAATACATAACAGTGAGATTGTTTATTTATGCCATGAACCAATCTGGAACCTGATGGTATTGTGGACATTCTTTGGCAATGTTTTCCTGTTGGGGAGCATGATGAGATTATACAGCAAACAGCATTGGTTTACAAGAGAAATCCTTTTCTTTTGTCCACCAGCTACATTGCTGATATTAAAACATCTGTTGAAAAGCACACAAATCTGCTAAGTTGCAGCTGGGTTACTGTTAAATGCTGAAGTAGAGAATGATCAGCAATGTAGCAGATGGTCTTGACTGAGGTTAGGAAATGGCACAGTTAATTCCACCAGATTGAGAGCTTCATTTTTGTGGCAGTAAATATAGTCTGAAGTGAATAATGAAGTCCTGGTAATAATTGTATAAGTCCCAACATTATTAAATTGATTCAGCTGGGGAATTTTAATATATGGGAAGCAGTTGATGTTTTCTAAGTGGCACTCATCTTTGCATGAACTGTGTTCATTAACTGTTATTACATTATTTCCTGTAACCCACATTCACCAGCTGAGTAACAAGTGATTCTAATGTAAAGAGTTTAAATTGGTTTTTGATATACTTTTTTATTTGTTTTTATTATGATAAAATAACATATACCAACGCAATGTTAAAGATCCCAATTATTCTTTACCTTAATGATACAGATTAATATATTGAAGCGATAACACAAGCTAACAAAATGGAAATATATTCATTTAATAAGGCAGTTGTTAATTATGCCGCTTTAGACCCTGAATTAGAATTAATCAGAGCTTCCTTTGTAACTCCTCTTCTGCATAACACCAAGTCCAGATGGTTTGGCTGTAATTTCCAGGGATTTAAAAAAATGCATATAATCAAAGGTGTCAGATCATCTATGGATTTCTGTTCACTCAAGGTTGCTTATTCACAGAGAGATTTCAATGTTAGTTGTTAAATTCTATTGAAATTTTATTTCACATATATTTTTCAGTTGGTTTCGGAATTTGAAGGCTGTAAGTTATTGTATAAGAGCCTGAGGTGAGCCGTAAGCAGCACCCACTATGATAATGTAATATGAACTTGCTAGGACAACAGCTTAGGATTTCAAAGGTGTAAGACCTATTGATCTGGTTCAAAAACAAAAATTGTTGGTGGAACTCAGCAGGTCTGGCACCATCTGCGGAGAGAAAGCAGAGTTAATATTTCAAGTCCTGTGACCCTTCTTTAGAATCTCCTGCTTTTACTCTACAAATGCTGCCAAACTTGCTGAATTCCTCCAGCAATTTCTGTTTTTGTTTCAGATTTCCAGCATCCATAGTTCTTTGTTGTATTCTACTGATCAGGTCATTGTCATAGTCTCTGTAATGAAGTCCATTACCTTTATGAACTTGTACCTAGTTGCTACCATGCAACAAACTACAATTCTGTTTAAGACCAGAGATCCTTTTCATTTGACCCCAAAGTTCTTTTTCTCTACCACACCAGACCACAGCGGTCCCAGCAGGAAAGAGAATGATGTCGGCAAATCTACAAGGTATCTCATACAAGATAAAGATCGATGCTGAGGATTCAGCCTACAACATGATGGCAAGCAGTATAAACTTCATGTAGCTGGCTCCTACATGCTGTCAGCAGGGGAGGTCTCAATATGTTTTCATTCACAGCTTAAGAAAGCTGTTCATGCAGGCAGTCAGCAACTGGATGAGCTGAACTTTCAAGAATCCTACAGAAAAGGTACCGCATACCAATGTTCTTTAAGGCAAATTAGATGGTAAAAAGTGTTGGAGAGCAGCAAGAGTGAACTGGGAACTCCATGGAGCTGAAACACTAGTCACACTTAAATGGTTACAGACTGCATTGGGTGCTGATGATATGTTGGAGTAGTCCTCAGTTGAGGTGCAGGCAGAGGGTAAATGGGTATTGGAGGTTCTGTAAGTAAAGGTCTCAGGCGAACAAGGGGGAGCATTTTATTTTAAATGCTGCAGTTTACAGTCTGGGAAAGATACAAGTGAGCAAAGCATTTACAGCTCAGACTGAGCATCACTGTCACAGTGAATGGGCACCACTAGGCAGGACTATAGTAAAGGAAATCAAGGGTGTGAAGCAATATAAAATGAGGTCACAGACAAGGAGCAGTCATGAAGCCAGAATTAAATTGATAAAGGGGCAATTTAGCAATCTAAGCTGACAAAGGCGAAGTGAAGAGAAAAGAGAGCGTAATGGGAGATCCATTACTTAAACAATAGTTAAGACAGGACTCATCTAGATTCGAAAAGTCATGAAGACCAAGATTCATTCATAGATGGTAATAAAATGGGAGTCATTCTTAAAGCTTTCTACCAGAACGGTAAAATCTAAGCATTATTTTTGATAGATCAGCAAATTGACAAATGCAAAAGGCACAAATCCTAATATTTCAAACAGCTTCAGAATTGCACACTACATCAAAAGTTGAAGAGATTAGCTCACTTCTCTACTATACTGGAAGAGCATCAGATCACGTGTTACATAGATAATTAGGGATGAGCAATAAATAGTTAGCGATGTTCACATCCTGTGAATGAATAAAGAAATATGTCTCTGATTTCTTTCTAACAGCTTTTGCTCACTATTTCACTTCAAGAACAAATAAAAGACTGGTGATATAATGGTTCGATAACAGAGACCAACTCTGAAAAGAGTCTGTGGAAGGCTTCATTAACAACCAGTATATACTGCCTGACCAATGCAGCTATGGCATGGAAATTCAGAACAGTAGCTCATTTGTAACAGAATCATCATTGATTTCTTAGATAATTCAGTCACTGAACCTGTTCAATCAAAAGACGATCCAACTCTAGATCAAGTAAATAGTAATGGATGTCAAGTCTAGAAGATTATTCAAGAAACGTTGTACATCAGAAGCTCCACTTAATGCAGAATATTACACAGGAAGTGTTGATTCTTTAAAGCACAATATAGCATTCAAACAGGGGAGACAGACTTTTCATTTGAAAAATATAACACATGTGACAACATCAACATAAAACCAGAAGCAATTTAAAGATGTAATATCTTGTCACGGGTATGGTTCTAAATCCCACATTAATGAAGACAACACTATCCATTACATCAAAAAGGTATACTTTGCAGGAAAAGAAATCCTACCTCAAAAATGTTTCTGAAGAACATATCAAGTATCAAACTAAATTGTTTCCAAACCAACATACATACTCATGCCTCAGAACAAAGCTTTGAAGAAGAGAACGATACTGCAATGGAACAAGTTACTTTATATGAAGAATAAGGGCTGATGAATGAAGGACATTAGTTATTCCTAGGAGAAGGAACACAACCACTTGATCCAGATCCAACGATGGTAAAAAAGAAACACAGTCTAACTTCCCGATACATCCTGCAGTTACATTAACGCAAGACCCTTCAGCAAGCTCTGCTGATCAAACAGAAGCCAGTGGAGAAAGAAAAAAAACTCACCAATTTTACCTCATGTATTTTTCTGCCTTGTCATAGACTTTCCTGGCCCATTTACCAGCATAAATGAAATCAAAGTTGTAGAAATGGATGGGAGATATATGGAAATAATGTAAGTAAATGTTGTAAAAATAAGTAATTTAGGCAGCTTATGTTAATCAATGTTTATGATGGGGAAAAAAATCATCTTGGAGAAAGAAGGTCTTTAGGACCCTAGAGCAATATTGTGATGATGTCACAGGGCTGCTCTTCACTGGGTATAAATAGCACAGTCTGGATGGGGTTAGTTAGACTGGAAGAGAAATAAAAAAACTGATGCAGAGAAACTTGATCAGTCAATCAGATAGTAATAGGTGATAGAACTCATGGAATAGTCTTTCAATAATATAACAGAAGATTAGAAGCTGGTATGTTTCTGATAACTATATAACATTATGTAATAAATAATGTTATAAAGAAGTCAAAGCCTGAAGACAGCTCTTGACCCTACCTGTTCCTTAGCACATTTGTCTTGGCAATTAGTCAACTCAGTTGGCTGTTTGGCTGGTTTGCAATGCAGAGCATTGCCAACAGTATGGGTTTAATTCCTACACAGAGTCAGATTACCATAAAGGACTCTCCCCTCACCTGAGGTGTTGTGGCCCTCAGGTTAAACCACCACCAGTCATCCCTCTCTAATGAGAGAGTGGGACTATGATGACTGTACCTTTGAGAGCTCTTGTGGCACAGCGGTAGTAATTCTATCTGTAGATCAGGATGCCTGGGTTCAACTCTGACCTTCCCAGGGTTGTCTTCTTGGACATGGGATAAAACCACATGATGTAAGTTTTACAGCCCACAACAGTGCAATTACAAGATCCAGGAGGCATATATAACACATACACTTGCATCTCTGCTAACTAAGTTTATCAGATCATTAAGAATGCATGTGTACTTCATCATTAAGAATTCACACCCTTCAGCATGAATCCATGTTTTGGCCTTCTTTAAAACATTTATTCATGGGATGAGTATTTCACTGGCTGGGCTAGCATTTATTTCCCATTCCTGGTTACCCTTGCGAAGGTGATGGTGAACTGCCTTCTTTAACAGCTGCAGTCCATTTGGTTTAGGTTGTAGGGTTCTGGTTTACAATCAGCAATTTGCTGACTTTTAAGTAGTTTGAATCACTCCCCTCCCCCCAACCCCAGAGATCCCTGGTTCTTGACACTGGACTTACTTATGGAACGTGAAATAAGGAAGGCAATAGACAGGTGTTGCAGGCCGAAAGAATCTCTGTGTTTATTTAAATACAAAGGGTAAGTATAATACAAGAAATAAAGGTAAATGCAATAAACAGTGAAATTAACACAATCAACTATACAGAAGACAGTAATTCTATCAAATCTACTATTAGCTAGATTAAACGCAATTAGAACCTAAAACAACAGTTTTAATTATATATATTTTAATCGGGCTTCCTACCCCGGCGTCCCATGCACTGTCACCACCTGTCTTCCCCTCCCTGCTAGCCTGTTTGGAAACCCTGGGGTCTCGGAGGTTTCAGCTCATCACTGAGGAAAACCTAATGACGAAGTACAGCTGGCTGTTCCTGCTTGTTGTCCCTGGGTACCTGGATGAAGACTTCGGACTGCTTAAGCCTCCAGTCTGGGTTCAGTCTGCTGATGCGTTGGGATGGGTAGTGGATCTATTGGGTAAGTAGTCAACACAGTGTGGAGCTGGAGGAACACAGCAGGTCAGGTAGCATCAGAGGAGCAGGAAAGCTGATGTTTCGAGGGTCAAGGCCCAAAACGTCTACTCTCCTGCTCCTCTGATGCTGCCTGACCTGCTGTGTTCCTCCAGCTCCACATTGTATTGACTCTGACTCAAGCATCTGTAGTTCTTGCTATCTCCTGTAGGGTAAATACTTGGTTTTCCTTTGTTTTCTGGTAGTTTTGCGCACCAGGTTTCCACTTCAGGATGTGTCTGAGGCCTTGTGGTGTCAGTCGGGTCAGTGATTTTCAGAGTTTGTTGGTTCTTGGGTCTGCTGGTCGTGGTCGGTTGTCATTGGTTCCCCAGTTTCAGAACAGTCCAGTGTCTAGAACCAGGGATCTGGGGTGGGGCTGATTAGAAACACCTAAAATCAGTTAATTAATGATTGTAAACCAGAACCTTACAACCTAAAACAAATGGACTGCAGTTTTAAAGAAGGCAGTTCACCATCACCTTCGCAAGGGTGACCAGGAGTGGGAAATAAATGCTAGCCCAGCCAGTGAAGTACTCATCCCATGAATAAATGTTTAAATAAAAGTTCAAAACATGGATTCATGCTGAAGAGTGAGAATTCTTAATAATGAAGTACATATGCATTCTTTATGATCTGACAACTTTAGTTAGCAGAGATGCAAGTATATGTATTTATCACAGGTGCTAAATATACCTCCTAGATCTTGTAATTGCACTGCTGTAGACTGTAAAGCCTACATCGTGTGTCAGTAGCTCTTGGAATTGATGAGGGGTTTCCTGTTCTGGGCATAGATCTTGGAAATAGTGGCTGGAATTAACTGTTGGAATTCTTCTTCAGGTGATAACAACTCTTTTGAACATTCTCAGGGATAGCTGTTTGGAACTGTTCTGGGGATTGCTGCTTCAGGTGAGATCATGGCCTGCAATTATACTGATTGTGGGCCTCTTATCTTCACTCCAAATCCGTGCTTTCCATTGTGTTTCTGGTGTTCCTTTTTGAAGTCAATTGGTTTACTGATCATTACAAGTATGTGCAAATGGATTTTGATTGAAGTTGAGTGCCCAGTGTCTCTGTGAATGGATTTCAGTTGAAGTTGTATAGTTGGTATCTCCATAGGCCCCCACACTGTCTGTCCTATGTAGTCCAAGGTGTAAAAATTAGTTCCAGTCTAGAGTGTTAGTTTTGGTTAATCGTTCCCTTAGAGTGGAGGTGTAAATTGGAATCCCAGGCTTGACAATAGTCCCACATAAAAATCATTCTGGCTCAGTGCGTGTTTGTTGCAGTCTGAGCCCAGGATTTTGTCCAGTATTTTAAATGTTTAAAAAAGTCCAGGGTCTGGTCCAGTATTTTAGATGGTGGGGATTTTTGCTCAATCCTACAAGGTGCACCCACAATGCCCTTAGGGAGGGAATTCCTGGATTTTGATCCAGCAACAGAAAAGGAACGGAGATATATTTCTAAGCCAGGATGGTAAGTTACTTGGAGAGGAGCTTGCATGTGGAAATGTTCCCACGTAACTTCTGCCTTTGTCCTTCTAGATGGAGATGGTTGTGAATTTGGAAGGTGCTGTCTAAAAAATCTTGGTGAATTTCTGCAGTGCATCTTGCAGATGGTACACACTGCTGTTACTGAGCATTGGTGTGGAGAGATTAGATGTTTGAGGATGTGGTGCCAATCAAGTAGGATCATCCTGAATGATGTCAAGCTTTTTAAATGTTGTTGGAGCTGCACCCATCCATTTAAGTGGAGAGTATTCCATCACACTTATGAATTGGCTTTTGTAGACAGTGAACTGGCTTTAGGGAGGCAAAAGGTGTGTTACTTGTTGCAGGATTCCTGGCCTCTAATTTGATTTTATTATGCAATTCTTCAATGCAAAATGTTTGATCGTGGGATAGTACAGCTGGTAAAAGAGAGGGGGAGGTGTATACAGTAAGCAGTAAGGGAGAAGACAGAAAATGAGAAAGAGCGAAAGGAGTGAGAGAATAAGAGGGAAAACGATTAGAGGAGAAAGGGAGGGGGAGACATGAGTGACTTAAGACTATCCAGTATGATTCTTTTCTCATTCATTAATGAGAAGTGAACTTTGAAATCTGGACCAGCATTTATTGCCCATCCCTACATTTTTTGAGAAGATGGTGGTGGGCTGCCTTCTTGAACCATTGCATTCTATTTGTTGTAATTACAGCCATAATGTTGTTGGGGAGGGAATTGCAGAATTTAAACTCGGTGACACTGAAGATCTGGATACATATTTCATGATGGTGAGTGGCTTGGAGCGGAACTTTCAAATTGATGCAACCTGCACCAAATTGCTACAATGAAATAAACTTTAAGGCAGGAGCCTCTTCTTCTTACAATACCAAGTTATTTTTGGTTACCCTCCAAACCAAGCAAGCCTTGTTGATCCTTACACTGAAGAGGATTGTGGCAGCAAATCTACCAGATAACACATATAGCATGAAAAGTAGTGGTAAGGATTCATCATATACACCATGTCAATGTGTGACTGTTTGTGGTGATGCCTGGTAGTTTGATTGCTGACTAAGATTGGCATCTGACACAAACATTCTAGAAAGCATATTTAAAATATTGAACTCAATGATCTGCACTATTAATTTAATGAGTAGTGAAGATTGAATCCATGAGGAGGTTATAAGCCACATGACTAGAGAAGAAAAAATCCAGCCTTAAACCTAATCTCATTTTTCAAAAGTTGGTATTTCTAATGTTGAATTGTTTTCAAAAAGTAACTTTTAAAAATCAAACATAACAGAGCCAAGCCCTTACCACTATTCAGTGGTCTTCCAGAACTTTCGATCATCAGAGATAAGTCCATCATGATTGAAATACAAGGGTTTTTATCACTATTTTAATGGAGCAGAGTGTTATGAGTATTTCCATGTGGGTTTATGTAATAAGATTACAGTAGTCTTTCTGCTCGCTGCATAAGCTTCTGTTAACCAGCTTAGCTGAAGGACTGAAAATCATATGAGGTGGGAAAGATCAAGACTTGAAAGGAATTTAAGCACAAAGATGACAACTTTTAACTGAGAAGCCAAAAGACAAGTGATTTAGGAAATTCTCAAGCAATTAATATACAGTGGTTTTCAAATCAGGCCTGTCTGGCCAATTCTATAAACAATGGCTGTGTAAACTCTGCAAAATGGAAAATGCATCACTGCAGTTCTTAATAAGAGTAATGGAGGAAGTTTGCAGAACAGGGAGAAAAGGGAAGCTGGAGGAAAGGAAAACTAAAGCGGTTTTTGAGGAAACAGTGCACATACTACGGCATCATCAACATAATCAAAAGAATTGTAAAGGTGACAGAGCCCATAAAATCTTTAATGAACAGACTAAGGGAAGTGGTTTATTGAGAATGCAACAAGAAAGCTGCAGTAAAGACCAAGTTTCCTAATAGCTCTGCCTATGGAAAGGAAAATGCTAGCTCACACACTGTCAAGCCATTGAAACTTCTCAAAAGAGTTCGGGTTTCATTTGATCTTATTTATTAATGGAATGTGAACAGTGCTGGGAAGATGACCCTGTCACTGTTTGCCCTTGAGGATATGATGGTGAGCAATATTTTTGAACCGCTGATGTCTACCTAGTGTAGGCATCCCTACATCTCCAGCATCTGAAGTTCCTATTATCTCTGTCTACCTAGTGTAGGTTATGGTGGGATTTCCAGTAGTATGATGATCTTGCATGTAGTATGCATTGCTGCTACTGAGTGCCAGTGGTGGAAGAAACGAATGTTGAAGTTGGTGAATAGAGTACTAGTTAAACAGGCTGCTTTGCCCTGAAGTGCTGTTCAAGCAGGACTCATTCAGGCAAATGGATAATGTTCCATTACACTCCAGGTTTGTGTTTTGTTGATGTGGACAGCACTAGGGAGTCAGGAGGTGAGTTATTTGCCACAGAATTCTCAATCTCTGGCCCTCTGCAGTCACAATAATTATATGGCTAGATCAGAAAAGTTACTGGTTGATTGTAACCCCTGGATGCCAATGGTAGATGACTCAGTGATGGTAATACCATTGAATGTCAAGAGAAGATGGTTAGGTTTGCTCTTGAAACAGCAATGACCATTTCCAACGTTTGGCAGAATTGCACTTGCCACGTCCAGTTTGATGTGACAGCAAAACAACAATAGAATAGGACCTTTAAGGTATATTTCTGGCTTCATATAAAGTTCATATATGGTGATTATATAACATTACAAGACCCCACAATTTTGACTGCAAAGCTAAAACATTAGCTTGAATAGAAAACAAGAACTGAATGATATCCCCTCTTACTTCTACCACCTCGATTTTAAAAAAAGTGCATATTTATCAATTCTTCTACTCTAGCTTTGTCTCTGTGAATGACCAGCATTCTGGCTGATCTAATTCTTTTATCATGTGGTTTGGTGTTGCACTATGAATTTGGGTTCAAGGAAGATTGGTCACGGAGAAGGCAAAGTCAAGAATTCTCTTCAGGCTTAGATTTCAAAATAACACTATTTATTATAATTTCATAATAAATAGTGCTGGACATAGTTATTGTACGTATGCCAGGCTTAGTATTACATAATGTAAGAACCAGCTTATATTCTATTTTTAAGTTTCTTCTTTTATGCTCAATGATGTGCATCCCTAATGCATATTGAAGGTAGCTCCAGAGTCCTGAAGATTTACACAACACTAATGACAGCTATCCTATCCTAAAAGTTTCCAAATCACTGACTGAATGTCTAAAAGCCAGTACAAAAGGTATTGGCTAATCTATGGCTTACTATCACCAGTGTGCAGCCTGTACTTCCAAGAAGGCAGAGTCACCAAGCTGCTTCTGATCATTTCTGAGTGAATGACTGTTACAGATTCTATTACAACTGTTGACTTGGTTTCTCAGTAAACCACCACCATCAATATCATATTGTCTGAGTGTTCCCAAATGTTAGCTCTTATAACATATACCACAAAGATTGGATTTTTGTTGAGGCACATGTCTATGAATGTATTAACAACATTAACTACTTACATTGTTTTAAGCTCTCACACTTACGCATAGTTTGGGTTCATTTCTTATAGACCATACAGAACAAGGATAAAGTAAGTGCACACAGGCCACTGCTATTACAACTGCTACTGAAAGTGAGGCAGTTAACTTTATAATGGAACGTTGCATGTCATAATATCATTGAACTGTCTTAAAGATACCCTGTCTGTCTGTCTTGTCTGGGATTAATGCAATAATGCAAGAGCTGCCACTTCATCATTGACAATAAAGCTTTTCTACTGTCATCGTAAATGAGGAGCAACCCCAAAGTATTAGGGACAGTTCTCAGAGTGTGCATATAGATATGATATTCTTTAAATATTCATCTTTTCAAGTGAGTATGGTGAGTATATTTCGTTACTAATGTCAGAACTCTCACAGCTGTATATTATAAGACCGAATAGCAAAACAGTCTCTTAAATATGACAACGGTTCTGATGACCCAAGATGTGATCAAAGCATACATGGTAATATGAATATTTGTTCTGAGATCTTGAATGATCTGGCAATCCAGGTACTAGCACTAAAATTAAACTGAAGGAGGCTGGGCGTAAACAGGCCAACTTGGTCCAATCCTGCATCATCAGATCTGATTGTCACTTTGGACTCCTGAAAAATCAAAACGCACAACACAGCAGGGATCCACAGGATTGATAAGACTGACATTCCTCTTTGTCCATCCAGAGCAATCCTTGGCAAATGAACCTCGAACACACCATCAGGTTTACAAATATTAAAAATGTAAAATAATTTTTGACGTCCCGTTAGGAGGATGCAGACTCTATGAAAATCTCCTTTCACCAGGCATCGACTACATTCACTGTGAGTTGAAATCTGAGTGATAATGAAGATGCATAGACTGATCTTTGCAACTACAGCAAACTGTTCTCTTAAATTAAGAAATTCTCCTTTTACAATACTGCCAAATATAAATTCATATATGTAGCCATTAATATTTTTTAGTTCTCTACATAGGAATTTAATATTTTTAAGTCTCTAAATTGCCAAATATGATTGGACAAATTAACTCTTGGGCTCTTAACCAAAGCCACAATGGATTTTTTTTTTAAATAAAAAGGTGAGCATGGTTTTTAGATCTGCATAAATACCAATATATTTGTAATAAATGAGCAGTTTAAAGAATTTAGAAGCATCTATTGTCACAGAATAATGATAGTTTGGGCTGAAGGTATTGCCATTTAAAGACTTGACCTAAACCTGTTCAGAGTATTCTTTACTTTCAGGAAAAAGCACTTGAAGAATGGAAGATAAGGAAGCTATGTCTGATCACATTAAAAGCATTTTTATCACCAGAAAGCAGCAGATAGTAAGGAGGAGGACTCTTAAAGGTGTATTCATGTTGACTGTTTGGGGATTTTGTAAAAGACTTTGAGAAGAAGTAAAACACCAAGAGGAAAAGAATAGGAAGCAGATGAGAAGTTGATTACACATGCCAGCTTGCATCCTGATTTGGACTGACCTTCACGACTTGTCAAGAGTATATATTGTTGTTGTCTGGCTAACATGCTGTATTCTATCTTATGCTCTGATTAAACTCAACCAACCCACTGTTCTGATTGCTGTTTCAAAGAGTTATATCAATAACATTTCTGCCTTCCACATTACCAAAATGTCCAATAAAACATTGAATCACCTGTTGGAATACTCACACTGCAGTGTTACAATATGATTTTAAGAAATGCCACTATAAGATGTTTAAAAGGGCGTTGCCAAATGAAACTTGAAGCCTGAATAGGACTGTGCAAAAACAACATCCAAAAAACAAAATACTAAGGGTAATGAATTTCAATCTAATTTCACAACTGAACACAATAACTTGTCTTTAAGGTCTCTACATCAATTTTCTTCAGGTGCTGACCTAAGTCATTGCTGCTTTCACTCCTTGGGCAGAAATTACAGTATTTAGAATTACTATCACCCACCCTGTACTTGTGTGGCTGCAGTCATGCTAAGGTAGGACCATTGTCCTCCTGAAAAATTTACAGTGGGACTCGAGTTATTCACCAGACCATTAAAATCAAATTCTGCTAGCCCCTCAGATAGATCTACAGATTTGTGTTAATCTGAGGAAAATCTGAGGAAAAACACAAACATTGTGTGTATCGCACCATTTCCACTGCCAGAATATTGGGTGCATCACCTGTTTTCCCCAGCTGTAGATATAATGAATTACAAAGAAAATGTTCTATTAAACTATTTGAAACATATCCTTCAGCATCAGACCAGGAACGATTGGATGTTAAGAGATTTATTTTGACAAGGCTACTCTCATTGTTTGTGTTCCCCAGAGGGCAACAAGCCTTATCCAATTTCTTTGGGAATTACGTTAAGCCATATATCCAAGTTGGGAGGAAAATTATTTAACTTTTCTTGCAAGTAGGAAATCAAGGGGATTATCTGGAGTGTCAATGTTATTCTTTACCGACTTCAGTCAAGAGTAAAATAAGTTGATGTGTAAAGCCAGGACAGGTATAAAAATAGTATTATACCCTGTTTCATTAATATCCTGATTGGCATCTGAGTTGGGTTAAAATTGTCTATTTGAAGTTATGGGTACATTTGGCATGGATTATTCAATGCTTTTGTTCATTTGCATATGACTAGAATTGAATGGAGGTGACTGTGTCTTCCCCCAGCTGCTGTTGTTAATAGAACTGACAAGGAGCAATAACTGCTTTGTCCCTGAGTGCCTAACGACTCTGCTGAGTGAAGCAACGTGTCTCTTCACCCAGTGTGAGATTAAGGCATCAAATTCCCTTCTGATATAAATTACCTCCTGGTGATTCTCATCAAAATCACTCAGTTTCTGTTTCAGCTCTCAGAAAGATGACCTGTCTACTTGGATTCTTTTTGTGTGTGTTACATAAAGCCTTTATCTTAGCTATTTCCAAAGATTGACGATGTATCTTCTCAATACTTTGATCTTTGCAACAGAGGCTTTGAACTTCTAGCATTGCTTTTCAAAGTTCCAAACAAATTGCATTCCATCTTTAGAGACAACATCAATCTGTGCATCCAAAGGAGTTACATTCAAACAACAGTGGTAGGACAGGGATATCACATCTCTGACATAACTGAGTCTGAACAAAAACAGAAGTTACTGGAAAAACTCAGCAGGTCTGGCAGCATCTGTGAAGGAAGGGTCACCAGACCCGAAACGTTAACTCTGATTCTTTTCTTCACAGATACTACCAAAACTGCTGAGCTTTTCCAGCAACTTCTGTTTTTGTTCCTGATTTACAGCATCTGCAGTTCTTTCAGTTTTTATAACTGAGTATGATGTGGAGGTGCCGGTGTTGGACTAGGTTGGACAAAATCAAAAATCACACAACACCAGGTTATAATCCAACAGGTTTATTTGAAATCACAAGCTTTTGGTGCGTTGCTGCTGCTTCAGGTGTTAGTGAGAGAGATGGCATCAGACACAGAATTTTTCAGCAAAAGATCAAAGGGCCATAGAACTGACATGAATGTGTTGAACAAACCTAAGATGGCTGTTAAATCTTTAGTCAGTTAGAAAAGAGATGCAGGTTTCAATTGATTGATATGCAAATCCCAGAATTTCTTTCAAGTTACTGCCCCAAGATAAATAAAGGTTTTATCAATATACCAGAGGTGACATTTCGGGTCAAACAATACATTCACATCACTTCTATGGCCCTTTGATCGTTTGCTTATAAATTCTGTGTCTGATGCCACCTCTCTCACTAACACCTGAAGAAGCAGCAAGGCACCAAAAGCTTGTATTTTCAAATAAACCTGTTGGATTATAACCGGGTGTTGTGTGATTTTTGACCATAATTTGAGCATATATCTTGTGGATTCTACTCGCACACTGAAGGCATTGACAGACACACATGTTTGTGTTCTTGTCTGTACGATTAGAACTCTACAATGAGTCGGTCATGTATAAATGTGGCTAGCAGCTACTGAGTGCTTGGGATAAGCAAGCAATGGCCTTCATACTAATGCAAACTGATCATACATATTAACCATCAAATTATAAACACAGAGGCATAGTATTGACCAGAAACATTTGCCATCAGGTTTCATAACATTATGACATACCTCCTTACCCACAAAATCAGTAGTTATTGTTAGACTATTGTTACAGTTCACCCTTTCTGCTACATTTCTAGGTTAGAGGTAAAGTGGAGGCCTTACTTTCACATGGGAGAAGCCAGGAGTGCCTCTCCCAGCTGCAACATAGAGCAAGTGTTGAAGGAGCTGGTGAGGATTTGTGATGAGGTACAAATATAATGAAGTCACATCAGGAATGCATACCTTTTAAGGTCCAGTTATACTTCATGTTCTGTCTTTAAGTGTTCACAAGTGTTTGTGAGTGTTTAAAGGTAATTAAAAGGTGCTCACTTGTTTAGAACAGGTCCTTCATTGAGGCAATAAAAGCAAAGTATTCTTCTAGCTGGAGATCTGAAATGAAAACAGAAAATGCCAGACAAACTCAGCAGGTGTGGCAGCATCCGTGGAGAGAAACAAGCACTGCTGTTTCACATTTTCCTTGGAACTGACAGTTTTTGAAACATGAATGTTGGTGGAAAGACACTGAACAAGGAGAGATAAAATATAATCAAGATAGAAGAAAATAAGTTTAGATGGGCTGGAGTTATGGGCCTGCCAGGAGAGTCCTGTTTGTAGATTTTGGGAAGGAGATAGAAGTGGACTGGTCAAGGCCGCTGGACCACAGGTTGAATATTCCATTTTCACACTGGATGTATTTTTGATTGGGAGGCACTAAATAGGGTGTGTACCCAGATCACCATCTCCCCACCCAGTCACAGTCTGACCCTCATAATAAAGGGAGTGGGTGACCTCTTAAATTGGCAGTGAAAAAAAATGAGTTTATTAATCCCAACATTGCGCTATCCACATCATAAAATGGTTGGCATAGGCTGTCAGGTGGCAGTGGGCAGCCCATTTATTAAAAGAAAGCTTTTCAAATGGCAGGAAGGATGAGGTGTTATTTCAGCATTTCACTTTGTACATCAGAGGAACCCCTCCTGAATATAGCCCCTGCCCTTCCTTCCTCCTAATCTGAATACCCCTCCAGCTCCTTTATATCCCTCCACTCCTCCATTAACTTGCCAAACCTATCCCTCCCAATGTCCCTTACCTCCCTGGGTCTGCGGATTGGTGCAGCCTTCTTCACTGGAGTCGTTGCAGTCCTGACATTGCCCAGCATCGAGCTCTAAGACTGCACTGGAGCTGCCAGCTATCAGATTGGTGAGCAACGTCAGAGGGTGAGACTGTGTCGAAGTCCTATTTTGCACTAATTTAGCCTGTGCTGGCGTAGCAGGCTCCTTCTGAGCCTCTTGGCCGGCCATTGACTTTCCTTCCAGAATCAGCCAAGCCATCGGCCCAAAATAAATTTCTACCCTGAGAGATGAGAAGCTGTGAAAGAAGGATTCCAGCATAATTAAGATCAATGACAGCTCGAGAAAAAAAGTCAGTGAAATCGTCCCAGCCACTGAACACTTGGACAATAGTGAGGTAGTTGAGATCAGAAGGAAACAGATTTCCAACATCAAAAGCAAAAAAGTCCCACTTTCCAACCAAGTGGTGAACAGCAAGTTGTGATTCTCACCGGTGAGAGGCTTATTTCCATTTGTTAACATTCTCAGTATAATAAAGTCTCATCTCATTAACATGCAGTTTCTCATTCTCCCACCTGAAAGATAGAAACCTGACGGTGATAATTCCTAATGTGGAAGTCAGGGCAGGTACCTGGAGATTCCAGCTTGATCCTCCAGGCCTCCGTCAAGGGCACCAGTCAGCAAGGTCTCAGGGTATGTTCCATGGGCAACGACCACATACACCCTCTGTCCAGTAGCATCTTTAGGTCCGCACTGGCAGTGGGGTGGGATGCCAGTTTCCCTCTCTTTGTCGTGTCTGGGGCGATTGACAGGAATTGTGTACTACAGCTGAGGCTGCCAACACTTGACTGGGTGCATGGCTGGCCTGCTTTAAAGATGGCGCCAGTGCCAGGAATCCTGGGAGGTTCCAGCAGTAGACACTACTTCCACCTGTGGTGAGTGGGAGAATACAATAAGTGGGGCACCATAAGGACATGATGCAGAAATAATGAGGCAAATTTGGGAAGGTATGATGAGATACTCACTTAGATTTACACAAAAAAAGCCCTCCATGAAGCTGGACGGAATTGGCACTACCAATTTCTGGTAGAATTCAGCTTAATGGCTTGATGTTCTGGAATAGGCTCATGCTCAAAGAGCTGGCATGGTGTAGTGTCCTGAGAACTGGTGCTGAGCATCTACAAGTTAGAGATTGCTACACCAGACAATGGCAGCAGTTTTGACGACAAAGTTAGAGTTAAAGCTGATGGAAGAATTTTCAGCAAATTCACTGAGAAACAGTTTAGATCATTCCAAACAGACCTTCTGAGTATTTATACACTTTCCAAATAACTTTTAGTTCTAACCATTATTCCCTTAGCCTGGTTCTACTCACTCCACTCCAATTTAACCAGCTCTGGACACCCACTTCCCCAGCACTGCTCACCCTTCTCCTTCTCAGCCCAGGCACTTTAGTCATTGAATTGGGAGGGGTGAGGGTGTGATGTGATTGGTGCTGTGAGCAGAGCCAGTGCAAGGCAATAAGTTGTGAGC